AGCTTGTTTGGTTGTGGAGTAATCTCTTCTTACAGATAAAATTTCTACAAATCTCGAAAATCCAGGGTTGTAGGAAAAACAGGCGTTTGTTCAGCATGCCAAAATTAGCGTTTGGCAAAGTTTGGTTCAAATCGGTGGTGTATGTTAACTAACACCACGTGGTAAGATAATTCTAAACTACTGTCCACCAGCCAACAAGTCTTGACACCCTAAACAAGTTTACCAAAGACAGTGCCTTTCTAGCTGGTCAAGATCTCGAGCTATTGTATATGCAAGAATTGCACGTGTATACTAGCGCCACGTAGTGAATTTTTTTTCCTATCCATTAACGAAAAGATCTTGACTTCCTAAACAAGTTTGCTGAAGAAATTTTTTTTTAACTCTTTATTTGTTCCAAGTTCAAAATAAATTACATTTCATTTTAACCTAGGTGCTCCAGTTACTACAGTAACTTACCAGCCTTAATTGTTATGATATATATCTAAGTAATTTTACATTGTTTCTGCCTTGGAAATTCAGTATTTTAAACATGTTTTTGAAACCTGCATGTCAGTATAACAATTGAAATCTTAAAACTAAAAACTAAAACTAAATCTTATCTAAGTATAGAGGGAATTAATCTTTGAGGATTGCAACGATTTTTGTCTGAAATTATTAATTATTTTGTTGAAAATTTGTTCTAAAGTCTCAACATTCGAAATTCTATGTACTTCGGTAGTACTGTACTAGGGAGGCAACTTCAAAATCATCTTCAGAACTCTGTTCTGAATCCATTGAAGTGCTTTTTTCCTGGTAGTGCAACAACTAGACCATATTGGAACAGCGTAAAGCATGGCCGGTCTAAAAACTTGTTTAAATATTAGAAGTTTATTCGTCAGGCAAAGTTTGGATTTCCTGTTTATAAGAGGATACAAACATTTTATATATTTGTTACATTTGGCTTGAATGATCTCAATGTGATCATTAAAAGTTAATTTTTGGTCAAGTATTAATCCAAGATATTTCACTTGGTTTGACCAGGAAATTGGAACTCCGTTCATAGTGACTATGTGACTACTACTAGGTTTCAAAAACGAAGCTCTAGGCTTATGTGGAAATATTATAAGTTGAGTTTTGGAAGCGTTGGGAGAAATCTTCCATTTTTGTAAATAAGAAGAGAAAATATCTAAACTTTTCTGCAGTCTGCTGCAAATAACACGAAGACTCCTTCCTTTAGCGGAAATGCCTGTGTCATCAGCGAACAAAGATTTGTGGCAACCCTGAGGCAAATTCGGGAGGTCCAAAGTGAAAATGTTATACAATATAGGCCCAAGAATGCTACCCTGAGGAACTCCTGCTCTAACAGGTAGTCGATTAGATTTGGAATTTTGATAATTTACCTGCAGATTTCAGTCAGTTAAATAATTTTGAACTAATTTCATAATATAGAGTGGAAAATTAAACTTTTTCAATTTAACCAAACACTGTAGAATGCTTTTTCTATGTCTAGAAGAGCAACTCCAGTTGAGTGGCCTTCAGATTTGTTTGAACGAATTAAATTGGTAACTCTTAAGTGTTGATGAGTAGTTGAATACCCATGGCGAAATCAAAACTCCTCATCTGAAAAAAAATTGAGTTCGTATTGATGTGAAGCATCATTCTATTTAAAATTTTCTTATTGAAGAAAGCAAACTTATTGGACGGTAGCTAGAAGCTTCAGCTGGATTTTTATCTGGCTTCAAAATTGGAACAACTTTTGCATTTTTCCATTTATCAGGAAAGTATGCCAAATGGAAACATCTGTTAAATAATTTTACCAAGAAAGACAAGGTGCTCTCTGGGAGTTTTTTGATGAGGATCTAGAAAATTCCATCATCCTCGGAGCTTTCATATTATGAAACTTTTTAGTTATAGGCCTTACTTCGTCCAAATCAGTCCCTCAGGAATCATCAAAAATATTTTCCCGAGAGAAAATATTCAGAAAACTCCGAGCAACCTGATTCTCAATAAGACTAGTAAGACCCAAACTGAAATTATGGGAACTCTCGAATTGCTTAGCAAGTTTCTGAGCTTTTTCCAAATTTGTGATCAAAATTTTACCACCTTCTTTAAGCGCTGGAATAGGCTTTTGAGGTTTTTTCAAAATTTTTGTGAGTTTCCAAAAGGGTTTGGAGTTTGGGTCTAATTTAGAAACAATATTTTCAAAAGTTTTGTTCCTCAGGGCAGAGAATCGCTTTTTAATTTGTGTTTTGCAAATCCCGCCAGAGAACTTTGAAGATCGTCGTCTATTATAATTGAATCGAATTTAACCTCGCATTTTGGTACTGAGGCAGCTCTTGCTTCAACTATAGAAGTAGTCAGAGATTCAAGAGTATAATTAACATCATCTTTGGTTTGCAACTGAATGTTTGGATCGAAGATATATGCCATAAATGTTCGATATTGCTCTCAATCAGCTCTATGGTAATTGAAAATAGAGCCGTTGGGATTAGAAATTATTTCTTGGGATATTTCAATAGTTACTGGAAGGTGATCAGAACCGAAGTCAGCATGCGTAACCAATTCGCTACAAAGTTGACATGAATCAGTTAAGACCAAATCAATAGTTGAGGGATTTCTTGCAGAAGGTCCCAGAGAAACGAGCTCAACTTTTTGGCTCAGCTCTGGTACTATCTTCGGTCCCAAGCTAATCGATTCACTCCTCGAAACATAAGTAAATCAACTAACCTCTCATTTTTTCTGTCAAACTTTCATAGCGAATTAAAACAAACATTGTGTAGTACTGGAATTTATATTAAAATGGGGTACGTTAGTTGATTTGCTTGGGACCAATAGGCTAGTAGTGAGCCAATTTAAAATCGTTAGTTTCGTATTGATTGTTGATATTACCATTGGAATTGCTTTGAGCATTATTCCATGAGCGATGTTTTGCATTAAAATCACCAATAATGAAGAATTTAGACCTATGATGGGTAAGTTTCTGAAGGTCACCCTTGAGAAAATTCTTTTGCTGGCCTACGCATTGGAATGGCCAACAGGCAGCTTTAAACGTAAGTTGTCCAAATTTTGTTTCAACAGAAACAGAAAAGTTAAATAGCTCGTTTTCATTATCTTTAAGAGATCGTTCCATTCCAATTCAAAATATTTATTGACTTAAAATCCATTACCCCTATTCTTCGAACCAAGTAACACCAATCGGAAATCATAAGGGCCATACTGCGATGATCGATTCTCTTCATTGATTTGAACTTTTACAGTTAAGTGAACCACTTTTTTGGATTTTATCCAGTATAATTCTATAAGAGGTTGTATTAGCTAGCAGCAATTGCACCGATAAATATTGTATTTTGCATTTAAAACTGGACTCCTCAAGTGTGCGGAATCGTTAATAAAAGTGCGCTTTTACGGTGTATCGTTCTGGTGTCTTCTGCGCATTTTTTCGTTAGGAATAAGTGCGCCGAATGCACCAAAAATGATTTAACATAGAGGCGCACTTTTAAGCGTTTCTAAACTTGTAATGTGCGCAATGCGGAGTATTAATCAAGCCGAGTTTAATGACAAAATCAAAAACCCGAATTTATCCACCTATGGTGTGATCAGACCCTTCTTACTTATTCAAGTTTATTTATTTTATTGTCATTATGAGTGACCAAGCCCCCCACCCCCGTGTCATCCAGTGACGCTACGCCACTGCCTGGGGGTACCCGGAATATATCCGGGTGTAGTCTATTTGGTGAGGCTACCAATCACCTTATCATCGAATTTTAATGTGATTTAATGGGTTTTAATTCAATTCATATTCAAACAACTTCCCCGGGGTACCCGGAACATGTCCAAGTGTGTCCAATGTGGTCTGGAACACTTAAGGTTCAATTTACTTTGATGCTTTTTGGAAAATTTCAAAAGCAGTTTTTTCCGACGCATTATTTCAGATTGCAAAAAGCTCGCACTATTCGATTCCTTTTGATATTTTACACAAAATGACGCGAGCTTTTTGCAATCTAAAATAATGCGTCGAAAAAAACTGCTTTTTATTTTAAAAAAAATGCATCAAAGTAAATAGAACCTTAACACGACTTGCATTGATCTTATTTTTGAATTCTGTAGTAATTTGATGTGTCGCATGATGGTTTTGATACGTTTTCCGTTAAATCCAGCGTGAAGGCCCATATTCACCGGATCTTATTCCGGCCATATCTCCAGAACCGGTTCACCGATTCCAAAACCGTTCAATAGCGTACAATGGGACCCCAAGACCTATCATTTGGCGCCGAGTTTGTCCAAATCGGTTGAGCGGTTGCTGAGAAACGTGAGCGCATTCATTTCGTTACATACACACACACATACACACGTACACACACACAGACATGTTCCGATCTCGTCGAGCTGAGTCGAATGGTATATGACACTCGGCCCTCCGGGCCTCGGATCGATAGTCGGTTTTTCAAGTGATATCTATACCCTTCTTTGTAAGAAGGGTAAAAAGAAAATAGATTAAATCGATCATTGCAGTTAGGACCTTAAGATTCTGAACGCTAGATTTACCTGCTAGATAATAACTTTAGAAAGAATTTGGCTTCAAGCCGGAGTACTAGCGGTGGACTTAAAATGGAAAACAACTTGAGAAAGCGTAAAAACAAGTCTGTTGTCGTCATGACTATAAGCTTGCAGGCACTATAAAAATCGTTATCACTGCATTTAACCCACATGGTAAGTCCCCAATTATCACATATAAATAATTACCCAATTACCCTCATTTTACAACCAGCAAATTTGGTCATTGATCATTGTATTAATAATAATATGCCACTGGCGCGTGGAGCAAAATATTTATCTCTCGTATTTAACCACTCAATGATAACGTTGATCAGAGATACTCCTTCTACCTGTACCTAGCTACTGTATATTATCAGGGCTAGCAACATAGCTGAAGCGTGCCAAACTCGACAGAGTGAGACAATTACAAAGCAAAGAAAACACACGGATGTAAAATTATTATTAAGAGCACTGGAAACACCTACAGTCCATTTGAATCGAGGGCTAGAGGAAAAGCAAACGCAAAGAGTCAGCGAACGATAATGCAATATGAATAATATGATAATAATTACCATGCTAGACTAACCGTATGTGTTGTTGTTCTTGTCGTCTTAAAGCCTAATAAGCAGTAAGATCAAGGGGGTATCTCTATTCTCATATTTCAATGCCATTGTCGTCGTACTCAAAGCGATACAACGAAGATTTTGCAGCCTTCCATTCCGCCGTTGGTTTGAGGAGCTTTCCAATTATCTGCAAAGGGGTTATTAGGACGGTTTTTAGGAAACTTGTGTGAGTTCGGTATTTTTAAGACTAACCTGTACAGGTGATTGATCCGAAGTATCGGCGACGATTTTATAAAACGCTGTAAACACTATCACTATCATTGGTAGCAGTCCGATTAGCCAGCCGACAATGTCTGCCCAGTCCGGATAGACGTATTTTCCGTACGAAACTGGCTTGTACTGAATCCAGTTGAAGCAAAGTATGAACTGTAAGAGTAATAGAAATTAATTAATTTAAAAAAAAAATAGTACATCTAAATGATCACATTACCATCAGCGTAATAGGTGTAACGAACTTCCAAGCAAAAGTCCAGAAGTAGGTGAAACACAAAGATCGTTTTCCAATCATTTCCTCAATGTTGGAGATGAATCTTTCGGAACCGTAGATCCATGCAATCAACACGCACTCGATTATGGCAATTAGCAGAACCGACCAGTTTGCCGCATATTTGTCTACTAATTGGAACCAGTACATTCCACTCTGAAAATTGGGAAAGAATTATTTACATACCTACATTTATACCACGCGCCTCCACCATTCCGCCCACCCCAGTGTAGATTGCTTACATTTGTGATGAACACCAATCCTCCCACATATCCAACGACGGCCACTCCAAAAACGACTCGCATCTTCCACTGTCTCAGCTTAGGAAAGGTGTCCAGTATTCCCGTCACTACCGTTTCCATCAGCGTAAACTGCGAATCCAGCCCGAGCGTCAGCAGCATAAAGAAGAACAACACCGACCAGAACATCGGCATCTGCAGCTTGGTCACCATCTCCGGGAACACGACAAACGCCAGTCCGGCTCCCTGGTCGATCACGCTTTCCACTTCAGTGTCCAGCTCGTGGGCCAAGAATCCCAGAATCGAAAATATCACAAATCCAGCGAAAAACGACGTCAGAATGTTGGAGATGGCAACGATGATCGCATCCCTGTAGCAATTATTCGAAAACTTATTGTAGGACGCCAACGTCAGGAGACCTCCCCAGGCGGGACTCAGTGCGAAGAAGATCTGTACAGCGGCATCTCCCCAGATCTGGGCACTTTTCAGTTTCTCCCAATCGGGTTCCAAGTAGTACATGATTCCGTTGTATGACCCAGGAAGGGTTATGCCTCGCACGAACAGCATCACCAACACTACGTACGGAAACAGGGCTGTGAAGTATACCACCTTTCCGGATGATTTAACACCTCGACACAAGCAGAGAAACACGATCAACCATGCCCCCAGTAGGGAAAGTGCCAACGTGACACTGATGTTTCCTGTAGTTTCAATGCCAGGCGATATTCGCAGCACGTAATTCCTAGAAGAAAACTATGCCTCTACATTCCAAATCCTTAATCAATATTAAATCAACCTACTTGAAAAACTCCTCCGCTGGTGGCTTCTTCGGAACCTTCGTCCAGTTTGCGATCAAGCTCGCATTCGCGTAACACTGCCTCATATAGTAGGTTCCATTACCACTGACACACTTGTTTTCCGCCTCGTACGAATAGCAATACTTGCTAGTCCACGCATGGTCGCATCCCCTCCACGGAAGTGGTTCCTCGAATGACGCCAGCATGTAGTACAAGGTCCACGCCAGGATAACGTTATAGTACAGCATAACGGTTCCGGCGATCAGAACCATGCCGACTCCCACTCCCTGAAAGAGCGGGGAAAATCTTTGGAACAGTACAGCCGGTCCCAGTCCTGCGTACTGCGCAATCGATAGTTCCATGAACATCAACGGTAGACCGGCGATCACCAGCATGATGGTGAACGGGATAAGGAAGGCACCTGGCGGTTGAAGTGATGGTTAGTTAGTAATAAGGCCGGAACCGAGGGGCACGCAATACCCAGGACCAGATTTAAAATCCAAGTAAAAGTACTTAAGCATTTTTGTTGAAAGTAATGAAAATTATTTTACGGTGCCTAACGTAATCAAAAGTATTGAAAATGTAGTTAATGGGCTTTAATTACGAAACTACGACTCTAATTAATGGACTTAAAAAGTAGCAGGGTGTAATTAGAGTACTTAAAGCTGTAATTAATGGAATAAATTTAATTACGCCTCTTGCCTGCGTTGGAATTAAAGGCTATTGCATGCCCCTCGGCCGGAACAGATCACATTTTTTTCTGTTGTCGTTGAAAACTGAACTACAGGCAATTTTCTGTAGTTGTAAGTTTGAATCTTTTAGTTAAGTCTGCTCACAAAACCTAACTTATTGTAGTAGGCCTAGATGTAGTAGGCCTTGCCTGACTGTCATAAGTTAGAGATTGATTCTTTATCCGACCACCAACCAAGATAGACGTAATAAATAGTAGCTCTTAACAACAGCTTGTTCTACTTGTTGGCCTTGGTACGGATATAACAATTGGCGACGAGGAAAATTTTGGAAGCACCTCGAACCTCGAAGCAAGAAACCTCAAGCAAGAAAATGTCTGACGAGGATCTTCGGAACGCCATCCTGCAGCTAACGAAAAAGTGCCGAAAACGCCATGTTGGAAGTGTGGCGACCAGCACTATGTTCGTGAGTGTCCGTTCGCTTCGCACACCTGTTCCAGATGCAAGCAACAAGGACACAAGGAAGGTTATTGCAACAGCAACAAGAATGCGCCGTCGAAACCGTCCAAACAGGCCAAATCCAAAGAGAACGTGAAGACAAAAAGCATCTACACGGTTCGCAACATCGGAAGCAAGCGGAAGTTCATCCCGGTAGAGCTCAATGGTGTAGCAGTCAAACTTTATTTTTTATCTAGTTCGTTTATTTGGAAGGCTCAATCGCGTTAGCTTTACGAAGCCGATAATTCATTGTTCACTGTGTGTAACAAAATTCACTTAATTCTATGTCTAGTAGGAGTTGGGCCGATTACTCGCGGCTTACTCGAGGTTAGAAGGGTACATTTTCGAAGGATAGGATCAGGGGAGGAGCTTGGGGTAGGGTTTCGTTGTCTCATCAGAGCGTTGTCGCCAGTATGAACGGTAGTGCTGTTCTAGCTTCGTCCGGAGTTCGACCGGCTATGGTGGGTGACCAGTGGGCGAGCAGTCAAACTTCAACACGACTCGGCGTCCGACATCATCATAAGAAGAAACATGGATCAGCATCGGACAGCCACCCACTCAACCGACGGAAGAATCTGCAGTTACAGCTTCTGGTGGCAATCTCAACCTTCTCGCTGAGTTCCAGACCGAAATCACCATCAAGAATGTTACCAAGACTGGTCGCATTTTCATCTCAAGCAGCGCTGTACTCAACGTTCTAGGAATCGAGACTATGGATCTGTTCGATTGGTGGTCTGTGCCGATAAGCAGCTTGGTCAACGTCGTACACCAACGTTCTGATCAGTTCACCATTAACTCAAGCAACAGTTTCCGGAAGTTTTTCGAAGCATGCTGGGTAGATGCACAAAAGCGCAAGTGAAGTTGTACCTCAATCCTGACGCACGTCCTGCCCGAAACGACCAGTAACGTACGCTGCACTCGCCAAGGTGGACGCAGAACTTGAGAGGCTCCAGCAAAACGGTATAATTTCTCCAGTTCAATTCTCGGACTGGGCAGCACCAATAGTCGTCGTACGCAAGTCGGACAATGTATCAGTCCGTGTATGTGGCGATTATTCGACGGGCTGAACAACGCGCTAGAAGGATCACCCACACTGGAGCACCTGCAGACATTCCTTTCGGTGTTTCGTTCAATCCCAAACCGAAACACACCGCAGTCGACGTCTCCAGCAGAAGCATTCCTCGGAAGACCAGTGCGCACCACTTTGGACCTACTGAAGAAACCTGTTCCTGTAACTGAAGCTGTCAAGAACCACAAACAAAACGAACAGTTCAATTGGCGGCATGGAGCAGTCAAGCGCAAGTTTGAAGAAGATGACCTGGTCTACGTTGAACAGCATCGCAGAAACGCCAAGTCCTGGATTCCTGGTCGAGTCATCGAACGGAAAGGTTCCGTCAACTATATCGTTGCACTGGACATGAACGGGAGACCGAAGCTGGTGAGGTCGCATGTAAACCAAATGCGCCCTCGTCACACTTCTGATGATCCAGAGCAAGCGACGCAGCAACTACCATGAGAAATCCTGCTTGATGAAATTCAAGATGAAGCTGTACTGTTGGATCCAGAAGTGCCATTCAATCTCGATGTCCCTATCCCTGTTGGTTCCGTATCACTCGAAGCTGATGGTCAAGTGGCAAGTACGTCTGGCGAAAATCCTTTTTCGACAATCGATCATGAACCTGCTGCTCAAAATGGAGAACTTCAGTCCGCACAAAAGCCCGTGTCATCTGAAGCAGTTGGAGACTTTATTCGACGTTCTGTACGAGAATCAAGAATTCCAAGATGGCTCTCTTCCTATGACATTTTCTAGAAGGGGGAGATGTAATCTTCTTCTTGATGGGCTACGAATCGCCAGGTTGATTCAACGCCGAACGAAGTACTCTTCTCCATTGGACTCGGTCCTGAGCCAATCGCTTCCAGTCGCCATGAACGTTTAGCGACCTGATGTCCTCCTCAACTGCAAATAGCCAACGTGTCCGAGGTCTACCCCGGAGTCGACGACCTCTACCGGGTTCTCTGCTGAATATAATATTTGCTTGTCGTTCTTCCGGCATCCGCACAACATGCCCAGCCCACCGTAGTCTGCCGTGTTTTATAAGCTTCCTTATATCCGTACCGTTATACACTTGGTACAACTCGTGATTCATGCGACGCCGCCAGATGCCATTCTCCTGTTTACCGCCGAGTATTGTTCGCAGCACCTTACGCTCGAAGACACCAAATGCTCTCCGGTCAGACTCTTTTAACGTCCACGATTCGTGGCCGTAGAGGGCTACCGGAAGTATCAGCGTCTTATACAGAGCGAATTTCGTTTTCGTTTGCAGGCTACGGGACTTCAGCTGGCTACGTAATCCGTAAAAGGCCCTGTTTGCAGCTGCAATACGTCTCTTCACCTCGCGGGTAACATCATTATCGCATGTCACTAGTGTTCCAAGTTACACAAATTCTTCCACTACCTCAAATTGTTCACCATCTAACAACACTACACTACCAACACCACTGTTGCTCCCACGCTGTCTACCGGCTACCATGTACTTCGTTTTGGTAGAACTTATCGTGAGCCCAATCCTCGCCGTCTCCCTCTTAAAAGGCACAAACGCCTCTTCCACTGCTCTACGGTCAATTCCGATGATATCGATGTCGTCCGCAAAGGCAAGGAGCATGTACGATCCTGTGATGATGGTACCGTTCCTCTGCACACCAGCTCTCCTAATCGCTCCTTCAAGAGCAATGTTGAACAGTAAGTTTGAAAGTGCATCACCCTGCTTCAATCCATCTAAGGTCACGAACGAGGTCGAAATCTCATCTGCAACCCTTACACTTGATTTCGATCCATCTAGCGTTGCGCGAATCAGTCTAATTAGTTTCGCCGGAAAACCATGTTCTAGCATAATCTGCCAAAGCTCATTTCTCTTCACTGAATCGTATGCTGCTTTGAAATCAATAAACAGATGGTGAGTCTGCAAGTTGTACTCCCGGAATTTATCAAGGATTTGACGCAGGGTAAACATTTGATCCGTCGTTGATCGGCCCTCACGAAAACCAGCCTGGTATTCACCGACAAAGGACTCCTCAAGCGGTCTCAATCTGTTAAACAGAACGCGTGACAGTATTTTGTACGCCGAATTCAGAAGAGTTATTCCTCGATAATTGGCGCACTCGAGTCTGTGCCCTTTTTTGAATAATGGGCAAATGAGGCCATCCAACCAGCTAGCAGGCAGTTCTTCGTCCTCCCATATCTTCGTTAGAATACGGTGGATTGCTTGATGCAGCTGCTCACTTCCGTGTTTGAAAAGTTCGGCCGGGAGCTCGTCCTTCCCAGCAGCCTTATTGTTTTTCAGCTCACGTATTGCCTTTTTAACCTCGTCTAGCGTTGGAGGCTCCACAGCTTGATCGTCGTCTGCGATGTTTACTCTGTTCCTCGATACTCCCTCACTCTCTCCATTCAACAATGTCTCAAAATGTTCTTTCCACCTGGCAGCCACCATTGTTTTATCTGTCAGCAAATTCCCCTCAAGGTCATTGCACATGGCGGGAGATGGCGCTGTTTTACTCCGCACACCATTGACAGTCGCGTAGAACCTTCGCATATCGTTCTGTTCCATACTTTCTTGCGCCTCAGCAATCACGCGTTCTTCGTATTGCCTTTTCTTTCTGCGGTGGGTTCGTTTCTCAGCTGCCCTTGCTACCTTGTACCGCTCTCTGTTCAGCCGGGTACCAGACACTAACATCCGGCTTCTGGCAACGTTCTTCTCATCCGTCAACCTCTGGCACTCCTCATCAAACCAGCCATTACGTGGTCGTCTTTGAGCTGTACCTATCACTTCTTGTGCTGTTGTGTTCACCGCTCCGTGGATTGTGTTCCACAGATTGTTGAGGTCCTCGTTCACGTTGATTTCGCTAATCCGCTCATCAAGCTTCTGGCGGTACTCTGCAGCAACACCTTCTACTGACAAGCGATGAATATTGAAACGCATCGATCTCCGGTTCGTTGAATTCATAACGGTCGATAGACGCGCCCGAATTTTGCAGACAACAAGATAATGATCTGAGTCAATGTTAGGCCCCCTAAAAGTCCTTACATCAATGACATCTGAGAAGTGCCGGCCATCCACCAACATGTGATCGATCTGGGTGCAAGTTTCGCCATTTGGGTGTCTCCAGGTGTGCTTTCGGATATTCTTGCGTGCAAAGTAGGTGCTACTGATGGCCATACCTCTAGCAGCGGCGAAGT